GTTAGTGAGAACACAATCTCTCTCTCTCTCTCTCTCTCTCTCTCTCTCTCTCTCTGGCGTCTAAAGTTCAAGCAATGGCTGCCCCTATCAAGCCTCCTGTAGAGATGACCATCCCAAAGGAACATCAGAATCTTGATATGTTATCAACTAATAATATTTGAAACTCTGCAATGACAGCGGTCTGCAAAAGCAGCCAAAGAACAACAACTGGTACATGGTATCAGAAGAAAGAATGTTGAAACAAGAGCAGCTATCGAACTGGCATTGAATGGGAGAATTAAGATGATCGTGGCAGAGTAGATTGTTCCTACCTCCAAAAGTCTATTGCAAACTATTCTGTTAGCAGCTTGGCGATTAGATAATTGGAAGTTTAGAAATCAGTGAGCCTGCAAAAAAAGAAAACAAAAAGGGAGGAAATAAACTGTAAGATATATTTAATTATGAAGAAGTGATCTTTTCTAAGAACACCCTCCAGAAATTTCAAGATTTGTGTGACTAGAAATCAGGAACTCCCAATCACACTCATGTGAGAAAACAAAAGGACTTCTCCACATGCAAACACATGACATAACTGAACATAAATCCTGAAAGCCAAACTGTAAATTGAAAAGTATCAGGCTTCTCAGCTAATGTTTACCTTTTATTCTTTCACAAGAATCCTGTTCTTGCCATGGCATCGACACATTATGATAGAAGATACCACTCATCTAGTACAAGAGAAATGCAGAAAGATCCTAAAGTGCATATGTAACATATATTGATTAACTTACTCCTTGCAACTAAATATCTCAATCTCTTTCCCCAATTGTTACCCCAAATGTAGTCCAACAAATATGATACGTTTACTGGAACCAATATATAACTTTGAGTCTCTGACACTGCAAACTGCTCTGGGAAAACAAAATTAAAAGCTTTTTCTCAGAGAACCACATGTTAGTCTTAAGCAGCGCTAGTTAGTCACAGAAGCAGGCCATCCTAAAAAGAAATTCATTATAAGGGAAAAGCATTAATTTAAATATTTTTTATGGACATTCAAGTTTAGAAGAACTGAGATTCTTGGAAAGACCTCAATTTTATAGTATTTATATTTCAAAGTTGACAACACACACATGAAACACTGAAGGATGCGGAAAATATAGGCTGCCAAATTGAGGCCAGACTTCCAGAGGGTAAAGTGAGTGTATCAACATATAGTCCAATAATTTGAACCAAACTTGAAAATCTACCTGAATGCCAAAGTAATACAATTATATGTCTACTGTTAGTCTACGAAGACTTACATAGATCTCTTGTTAGCTCTATCCCTAAGTTTCATTCTTGTGTAAATTACACAAACCACAGTAGGAGGATTAGCTTCAAGAAGAGTTGTTTGATTTTCACCGTACAAAACACTGCTTCATAAAATGATAAGAAATATATGCGAATAGAAACTTCAACTCTTTGCAAATCAACTTTGTCATGAATCTCATAAATTGAATATGTTTGGTGAATGCTGCCTTTACCCATCAATTGTATATAAAAGGAATAGTATAACATACAAGACTGGCTATGCTTTAATCTTGTTAACACAAACAACTTCAAAGCAATCAGAACAAAAAAGATGATTCGCGTGCATGAAAAATATAGTATCCAAGATATGGTCAAGGGAAAAAATCATGACTAAAAATGAAATAAAGATACATTACACCTATGGTGATATCTAAGAGCCGAAGGCAGGCCGATCAGCATATGTCTTGTGACTTGAATCATCAGGTTCATATCTCATCTGAACAAGAAAGACATGATTCCCGACATAATTTAACAAATCAAAAAAGGACTAACATAAGTAATGACTCATATGACAATTGGACCTTTCCTCAATTACGAGAGATCGTCACCCTTAGGTAAGAAAAAAAGGGGGAAAAACAGGCATGTGGCTTCCAAAAAAGGTGTGGCCATTCAACAAATGTGTTGCAATCATTTCAGAAGAATAGCCTATCAAGAACCCTGGTAAGACAACAAACTAATGCAGCATAAGGAAAGATGCTGTAAATATTATCGATCCAAAGATCCATGAAAAGATCCAGAAAACAAAATTCCTGATTAGATAATGGTGACTCCCTAATTCTTGAACGGATTTGAAGACCTACAACAATGACAGTCAACATAGACCAAAAGCAGATAACTTTCAATTAAAGAAGAGATCAGTTATTAAAGCCTATTACAATAAATTAAAGGGGTAAAAAAATCCATGCTAGCTTAGAGATGCAATTACATGTACAAACTACATTCAGCACCCAAACAGAAACAACAAAGATTATTATTCTTCCATGAAGACAGGAAATTGGACGACCAACCGACTAAGAAAGATGATGCATACAGAAATTTCTATAGAAAAAGAAAAAGGAACACAGATCATCAATTTTCTAATAGAATTAAATAGGTAATGGGTCGATCGAGGGGCCGTTTAAGACGTTCACCTGACGTTTCCTTGGGGCTCGAGGGGTCGCTACCGGGATAAACGATAGCCCTACCCAGCCCGGGCAGATTCGAGAGGATCCCCACGAAGTAGAAGAGCATGACGAGCCCGACCACCCAGGGCATCATGATGAACCCGATCACGAACGTGACGGAGCCGCAGAGCATGAGCGCCAACGACGCCCCGAGGAGGAGCGAGGCGAACCCTGCCGGCGACATCTGGGCCCGGGGCCGCGCTTGCCTCGTCGGTGCCGGCGCTGGCGGGGAGGCGTCGGCATCGGAGGGCGGGAGGGCGAGGTGGGGGGTGTGGAGGACCGCGAGGAGGAGGGCGCATAGCTCGTGGAAAAGCCGCGAGGGCTGGTCGTCGCCCGGCATCTCAGCCCTGATCCCGACGCTGGAGGGAGATCAAGGCGGGGAAGCGGCCGACGAGGAGGAGGAGGCGGACCGAGTTGATTGCGACTGGAAAGCTTGGGAAAATGAATGGATAAGCCTTGCATTTATGGATTTCTATTATTATTATTATTATTGTTTTAAGATATTTACGTCCGTCGGTTTGCCGACGGACGTATGGATAAAAAAAAGTAGCGTAGAGTTTTATTATTATGATTACTGGTGTGAGAATTTTTTGGAAGAATGGTTTATATGTGGATAAATATATTCGACTACAAGAAACTATCGTTGTTTATTATTATTATTATTATTATTATTATTATTATTATTATTGGAGATATTTATGGAAGGTTTGTTTGCAAATGGATAAAAGTAGCGTAGAAGAAACTGTCGTCAGTTTAAAGTGTCTTTTAGTTATTTAATATAAATTAAAACAGACAACCTAATAATTACATTATTAACAAGATGTCTCCACTGATATAAAAACTGATGCGACTGTTTCTCGCTTTGTTGTTGTTATATATATATATATATATATATATATATATATATATAT